GACTCGACCTAGGCTGGCCGCGTCCTCCAGATCCATCGGCAGAGGAGGAGGAGGCGCCTCCTCCCACCGCCACAGCGCCCTCCAACCTTCTCTCCTTCCTCGCGCGCGCCCGTAACCCTAGCCATGACACTCGAGGAGTGCTGGTGGTGCACCGAGCGCTGCCTCGACTGGGGTGTCGGCGACGGCCCCGACCTCATCGTCGACGACGCCACGCTGCTCATCCACCATGGCGTCAAGGCCGACAAGGAGTCTGGCAAGTTCACCGACCCGGAGTCCACCGACAACCCCGTCATGCTCGCCATCATCCGCACAAGTACCGCAAGATGGAGGAGAGGCTCGCCAGCGTCTTCGAGGAGACCACCACTGGCGTCAAGCAGATGCAGGAGTCCGGCACTCTCCTGTTCCACGCCATCAACATCACCAAGAGCAAGGTATACTTCCGTTCTTCCCATTTTACAGAGTTTCAGATCTGATGCTCTGTTTCAGCATAGCATAGCAGTATTGATTCACATGGTTCAAATTACGTTAAAAGCACTACAACTGTGGTTCAGATTTTGAATAACTTTTTTGTTTATCAGGTTGCCTGCTTAGCTTCCATGGAGCTTCAGTTAGATTTGCTGAAGCTGCCACGAGATTTATTTATGCGAATAAATTTGCAAAACAGAAAATAGCAATTGCGTGCTGTGCATGGTCTTATTGCTCGGTCACTTTGGGGGTATAAGTTACTGTATTTTGAGTGAATGTTATGGTGCTGTACATATGATGCACTTTAAGGGTACACTGAGTTAGATGTTACACATGACAGGACAAATAAATCCAGAGGAGCATCTATCTTTCCTTTGTGGGGCTTTTATTTTGCCGCAAAGGTCATTTTACTTCCAAGACCAGCACACGGGTCAATTGTGATGGATGATGAAGTATCCATTGGCCCACTAGAAGTTATATTCGTACTATGAAATACTGTGCATTGCACAGATTTGTAGGTGGTGTAGCTGTAGCAGCATGCTTAGAAGAAAAGTTAGCTCGACCTTGAACTATAAGTTGCGTCAGTCTATATGCTACTTGCATGGAGGCATCAGCTTTTACATTTAGAATTTCTCACACAAGCAAGTGTGTTACGGAATTGGAATCAATTGGAAACAACACTTGCATGCCTAGTAGTTAAACCTCGATATGATCATTTGACACAACTTTGATCAATTAAAATCTAAATTTGGTTTAAGACTTGAAATTTTCACAATTATATTTGTACCACTTTGAGGTTGTTATTCTCTGTTTTGGAAATATATTCATTCTGGGGATGCCATGTTTTTTTCTTGCTGATGTTATTCTCTATTTTGGAAATATATTCAGTTTGGGAATGCCATGTTACACTGACACAACTTATTAGTTTGGTCCTTGTCTGATTTAGTTGTTGCATCTTGTCTTCATCTCCCCTACCTCCCTCTGATTCCTCGTGTGTTTGCTTTGGGTGCAGGTTGCTTTGATCTGTACAAGCTGCTGCTGCTGCTGCTGCAGGTGGACAAGGAAGCCCTAATGGCTGCTGCTGCACTACAGTCTGCTTTTCATTTTTTGAACAAGATGTATTAATGTTAAGTTGACATTACTATTGCCTTGAGTTACATACACTTACTAACATAGATCCTGGTATCCTGTTGTTTACTGTAAGACTTGCTGTGTAGCAAGGCTTGAGTAATTTAGCGTACTACATCTTTAGTTTCAACTGAAATTTTTTATCATGCTACTGTGACATCTACTGAAAATTTCGAACAAATGAATGGAGTACTGTAGTTACAAATGGAGCCTACAAATTCTGTACATCTACTGTACTCATTTTTAGTTATCTGTAGTTACAAAGCATCAATTGTAAGACTGTAACTAAACATATCTTCTTATCCTCTTTGATTTTACTCATACACATGCTTATGATCCTGTTAACAACATAGCGTTTTGTAATATGATCCTGTTTGTAATATGATTACAATAGCAGAGTTGACAACAGAGCATTTGTAATGCGGCCTCGTTGCTGTTCTCTTTTTCATATGTAGTGCTACTGTTATGTGTGTGATGCTCCAGCTCCATGCAAGCACTGGGGCAAAGGGCTCTGTCAAGCAGGTCTCCTGGTAAGTGTCTCGTTTCCGCTCCGTCCCCCATCTGCCTCTGTCTGTTCTTTCAAACTGGTGGTGCTGCAAGATGGGTTTGCTTGTGGATTCTTGTTTTGGTAGCAGTTTGCTTTGCTATGAGTAAAATGTTGGTACTTTGCTTGCCATGTCTGGTTCTTGTTTTGGTAGTAGTTTGCTTTGCTTATCCAGTAGTATCAGTCAATTGGCCAGCCTAGAGCAGGTTGTTGTTGTACATGATGGTGTTAACTGTGAAAATGCCAAGTGTGAGAAAATTAGACCAGCTGTCCATTTCTTGCTTGAATGCATTCTTTGAATGAGATGATGTGCTAGAGACATGCTACTTACTATAAACAAGATGGTGTTTACTGTATTTTCTTTCATGCACATTTGGTGTATTATCTTCTGACCTGCTGGTGTTGGTGTCATATGTACTGTACACATAGAAGGTGAACTATCTTCACTGAAATTCAAGAACTATCTTCACTGTTTCTCCCTGCTGCATTGCCTCACCCGTTCTCCTTCTATCTTAGTCTTGATATAACTCTGCAGTTTACTTGAATCTGCAGTTACTTTCAAAAGTATATGCAAAGTTTGTGTGTATGTGTATCCAGTGAGCAAATCTGTAGTAATTACTGAGTATACTATCTGCTTTCTTTTAGTGGATATTTTCTCCTCAGTTCTCTTTTGACATATAGTTTGTTCTCTTTGAATGTGCAGGTAGTATATTGTGCTGGTGATGTTTTTTCGTTGCTGGGATCATTTGAACCTGGATGTCATGTGTTATGTGATCTGAGCCATATGGCATATTGTAAAAAATGTATGTATGCTGTTTTTTCGTTGCTGGGATAATGTGAAGATGTACTTTTGAAATGTTGCTTTGACAACAAAGTTGTATTCTTGTGTACATCCTGCTTTGACAGCAAAATTATGAAAATTTCTCAACAATATATATTGGTTAAATATCTGTTTTCCAATTTTCTATGCTTAAAGTTGTACTGCACCTAAAAAGGCTACAACCTAACTGATGATGTTGTTGTGGAATTGTTTATTTTATTTAAAATAGCGAAAATAATAATAGTTCTGCCAAAAGTTATAAAAACAAAATGAAAAGGCCAGCAAAAACAAAATGGACAGGCCAACAAAAAAAGAAATTTACTAGAAAAAGGAATGGTCCCAGAAAAGAAAAAGGCCGTAAAATTTGGCTTAGCCCATTTAGTTGACCATGAAAAAAACACAAATAGGCTGAATTGTTGGGCTCGGATCCGACCAGGCTGAATCTTATCAGTGACCTTTTCAATTGGTCGCAATTTTGCCACGTCGGATCCGACGTGGCCTGGGCAGACAGCCAGTGACCAAAACAAAAGGTCATGGGTTCAATGACCTTCTGTTTTGGTCGTAAACGTCTACGACCTTCTCACAGAGAAGGTCGTTAATTTCAGTTTACGACCGCCAGCTTTTGACCTTCTATTTTTGGTCACAAAAAGGTCGCAAATGAAAAACAATGACCTTTAAGTGACCAATAGTCAAGGTCACAAGTTGACATATTTCTTGTAGTGTATGGAGTGGAGTAAATAATGCATTGGGAAGATGCAAGCCACCATCTCTCTCCTCTTTAATTACCCAAACCCCCAATGAGCTAAGTGCATGTAGAAATTAAGAAGACTATGTATAGAATGTCATTCGACTTGATTACCGTGTGATGAGAGAAAATACTTTAAAGTGCACTGGGAAGATAGAAGTACACTCTTTTGTGGACAAATTTTAAACCCAAACATACACTCTTCACCGGACGGAGGGAGTATCCCTTATGATTGGTACTGTATTTTGTTTTGCTTCCAATTCTCCACAGGACACTGATTCTAGTATGTTAGTTCAGGGAATGATAAAGCCGATTTTCACACCTTTCCCATTGTTTCCCACTACCACTGGGTATGGGCTCCTTTAGTTTGCTGTAGGTGCTCTCATATCTGGATTGAGGTTTGGTACTTATTCTGATGGGTTGCTTCAGGCAATTCTAAAGCTCGCGGTTTTGCAACGGCTCATGCCTAGGTTAGTATATATGTACTCACATATCTCACTATGTGTGCCCATGATTTTATAAATTTGATGCTAGTTGTTATGGGTACACTTCAGAGTCTCAGACAATGATAGTACAGTACTATTGACATTTTTTTCCAGAGTCTTAGAAAATGCTACTACGCTACTATTAATTACTACTCTGTCCCATAATATAAAATGTTTTTAAGCTATGTTGGCTTACAAAAACGTCTTATATTATGGGACGGAGGGAGTATTTTTGTTGAGGATGAATTCAAATAAAACATATGATTTATTGATTCACACACTGATTACATGTGTTGTATGACTTACAGTACATGATCTTCCTTGCAACCCGACAAGTTCTTTCCTGGATGATGCCATTAGGAACACCTTAGAGCTGTAATTGCAGGCCACTCTTAAAAAATGAACATATATGTTTTACTGAAACAAAGTTGTACAAGTTGAATTTGGTCCATCGAATGCCCCCTTACTATGTGCTACTTGTTTTGCGTACACTTCAGAGTCTCAAACAATGATAGTACAGTACTATTGACATTTTTTTCAAGAGTCTTAGAAAATGATACTACACTACTATTAATTACTACTCTGTCCTATAATATAATTTTTTAAGCTACGTTGGTTTACAAAAACATCTTATATTATGGGACGGAGGGAGTATTTTTGTTGATGATGAATTCAAAATAACACATATGATTTACTGATTCACACACTGATTACATGTGTTGTATGACTTACATTACGTGATCTTCCTTGCAACACGACAAGTTCTTTCCTGGATGAAGCCATTAGGAACGCCTTAGAGATCTAATTGCAGGCCACTCTTAAATAATGAACATATATGTTTTACTGAAACAAAGTAGTATAAGTTGAATTTGGTCCATCGAATGCTCCCTTACTAGGTTTGGTTCTGAAAAACAGTTTATCTCTAGCAGTTGGTTCATGTAAATACTGAGAGGAAGCTGCATGCGATGTTGTTGTGGATATGGGGTGTCGGGTTATGGTTTCTTGGTTTCGATTTGAGCTAGGATTTTGTTCTAATATTACTACCCAATATGGCATAATTTCTATTTGCTGTACTTTCTGTAAATTATTTCTTTATCGGAAAAGATGGCATGATTTCTATAGATTATTATGATTTGTTTGGTGTTAGTGTGTAGAACATTATGTTTGGGTATCCCTATGGTCGAAACAAGTTACCGATATACAATTTTAGCATACATGTTTCCCTAAAAGTAAACCCCTCTTTTCTACGTCCAAAGTCAAGAAACTGATTAAACCAATGAACCATCAGAATTTGCTATAATATGAGATCTTTCCAAAAATACAAGGTTGATTTACATTCGTGTGGAATGATTGTTCAATTTTTTTGCAGAATGAATGATTGTTTATGTTGCATATTAATTCACCTTTTTATAAGAGTTTGCTAAGACCTATTTTTTAGTTTATTAATTTAATATATCACATGTTTATATATATTAAGAGGCATATTCCTTATATTATTCATTGATGTCATTTTGCATAGTTCTAGATTATATCTTGATTTACACACAAGTATATTATTACAATAGAATGTTATTTTGCATCTGGCTAAATTATTAAGAGGTCATATTCATTTAACTTGTTTAAAAAAATACTACCATTTATTGTAAAAATAGATGGGTGTTGAAATGCATGCCAATGTACTACACCGTACCTGTACTCCCTAAACCTCCATTACATTTTTAATTAGACTCGATGCACCAATCCTATTTGAATGAAGGTTCTAAATAGAAAAACACATGTAAGCACATTATGGGACATATAAGCGGCTCAATTTTTTATGTAAATGAATGTGAATTCGTCATGTTTTATGCTATGCCCACATTTAAATAGAATGTAGTATTACTTGATAAATGTTGTATGACATAAAATATATTTAGAGCACAGCGCTATGATCGGTTGTAAATAAGTAAGAATATTTCTGCACCACTATATACTGTGTGAATAAGTTTGAAATGGATCATTGGATAACTCAATTCGACGGTCAAGAGGTGGCAAATCCTAGCGTCGAATAAGTGTATTATTTAGTAGTTTCTAATAATTGTCATATGACAGTATAGCAAACAAGTAATCTCATAATCAATTACATGTAAATATTTAAAACTTGGGTAATCTCATAATTAATTGTCATATGTCAAATTGACCCAGAATTGTCATAATCAATTATCAAATTTTAATTAATACCACACAAATACAAGTTCAAATAAGTGCAGAGGCCCAACCAATTGACCATCCAAGTTGCTTCAATACTGGGATTATCATTTTACACCTCGTAAATCACAAGACTGAAATTCAAAGGATCGTCCCAGTATCAAAAGACCCTCCACATCTCCGAGTCCCTTTGTTTGCTATACTGAAATTTCTATACGACGACCTAGAATGTCATCGTCCACATCAAAACCCTGATAGTTGACAGACTCGACAGTGAGCCATTCGCTGTACTCAATCAGTCTCTTCTTTCTAGGGGGCCTCGCCTCCTCCCCCTTCCTCTATAAAAAACACCCCGAAGACCTTCTTGGCGATACTGTTGTCACTCCTCTTCATAGGTGAGCCACATATTTCCACGTGAACCCATGTCGTGGGTGACTGTGTCGTGCTTGACTGATCATGGCATAATCTACTCCATGGGCCTTATCATTGGTGGAAGAAACTATTGTCGTTGCTGGTGAAGGAGCTACTGCTGGTGCTAGGCAAAGACATTGTCACCAAATCCTACAAGTCAGCTAGTGTTCCATCTAGGTGTCTCCCTAGTCGATTCTTATATGCTCTGCTAATTCCGTATAGGTCCTCTCCCCTGTTACACTGAATAAATTTATACCAAAATTTTGTACTTATTTTTTAGTCATGAGGTTGGGTTATCATAACTAATTAGATCATTAAGAATGTTTTTTATGCTCGAGCTGG